CTCAAAGTTCTAATTTACTCTGGCACTCAGTAGAAGGGAATGCAAAATCTCTGATATCTGCTGTGTTTGGGTGTTGTGAGATAAATTATGTGAGATAAATTGTGAAATAAATTATCTCTTATTTCTTCAGACAGGGGCTCAGGTAACGACTCACAAATACACACACACTACATTAAATATACTTTTATATATCTTTATATATCTATCTATATCAATATCAGTCTCAATATCTATATCTATATCTATATTTATAGAATCTATATCTATATCTATATCTATATCTATATCTATATCTATATCTATATCTATATCTATATCTATATCTATATCTATCTATATCTTTATATGTGAATATATATATATATATATATATTCTAAAGGATGTGCCATAAAGCAGAGTTCTTTCCACTCTTTCCACATTTAATTTAAACAGAAGTTCCAGCAGTTTATTAAGCACAAATTATGAAAAGCCCATCATGGAAAATGGAAATTTCCAAACTCTGCAGGCCTTTCTTTGATGGAATTCAATGGTATTAATTTATATTATATTTATCTTAATTTTACAGTTACATCTGAAGCAATTATCAGTGTTCAGTTTTCCTTCCTGTTGGTGGGTGTTTGGGTTTTAAAATTACTAATTTTGCTGTTAAAATTATTTACTATTAAAATTATTTGCTATTAAAATTAGTGTTTTAAATTGACAGCACCGTGTAGATTTTCATTAAATTTTTAATTACATTAAAAATGATTAAAAAACCCTGTAATCTCAGGAATTTCTTCAGAGGAAAACAGATGGACTTAATATTTCAATTTGCAACAAAAAATACTAATTCAGCTCTCCTACTACCAGCTATTAAGGTTATTCAGTTGACTTTAATTATTTTTCGTAATTTAACCACACTGAAAACACATTAAGTGTGAAATCCAAGGCATAATGGCATATGTTCATAAGGTTTTACAAATTAAATCTGGTTTTTACATTCTTGAAATGCTGATCACTGAATTAACCTCTTCTTTTTCCTCCACTGGACTCCCATTTAAGAAGCTTCTGGAGATTGTGTGGCGTGAATTTCAAAAACTGTAATAAAAAGTGAATTTAAGACAAAACGGGGTTTAGTGCCATGGTGGTTGAAAGTTGGACTTGGTGATTTTGGAGTTCTTCTCTTGCCTTGGTGATTTTCTGATTTATTCTGGGTTGGTGAACAAAGAGAGGGAAATTGGAACTTGTTGATTTTATGGTAATTTTCCTCAGTCCACAACATGAATAACCACATCCACTGAAAGGTAAGA